GACAATTTTTAATATAACTCCGACTGGATTCGTCTGAAAGAAGAAAGTCATATACACCTAGGATGCCTCGGGGGTGAGTAAAACACAGCCTAATTTTAATTTTTGGGTGAACTAACCCTTTAACTGTAAATAGGGCCAATTTTGATTTTATATTTTTCTTCTTTAAAATACATGCATTTTCACTCTCTTTATCATTTGTACCCTTAAGCTCCTCAATATTTTATTTTATATTTTATTTTATTCTATTTTATTATTATTATTTTATTTAATGTTTTATTTATAATGTATGTATTATGATTTATTTGATCATTTATATTATTTTACCATGTATATGTCTGTATATTAAATGTGTAAATAGGGCAAATTTTGATTTGATATTTTCCCTCTTTAAAATACATGGATTCTCTTTATAGTTTTTGCCATTAAATGCATCAATATTTCTGTGTATTCTTTTATATAATATAATATAATATAATATAATATAATATAATATAATATAATGTTTATAATTCATGTATTATTGTTTATTTGATAATTTCTATCATTCATTCATTTATGTATTGTCATTTATAAATATGCCATTTTAATTCATGATATAATGATATTTATCTTATTTAATAACCATGTGTCTTCTTTAGAAGGTTATACAAAAGATATATGATGTTTTTGAACCATGAACAGTACAGGCGTATTATAATACTGTATATGCCATTAAACGCATCAGTATTTATGTGTGTTTTTAGCTATAATATAATATTTATGATTTATATATTGTCGTTTATAAATTTGGCTAGGTTTGACCTTTAACCTTTGACCCCTGCAGAATTACGCTGATGGCTCTCAGTACGGTCACATGGCCAGTCGGGACCTGGGGTCACATGACAGCATCTCTCCGCCGTACACCAACTCCAGATTAGCAGGCACCTAGGATGCCTCGGGGGTGAGTAAAACACAGCCTAATTTTAATTTTTGGGTGAACTAACCCTTTAACTGTAAATAGGGCCAATTTTGATTTTATATTTTTCTTCTTTAAAATACATGCATTTTCACTCTCTTTATCATTTGTACCCTTAAGCTCCTCAATATTTTATTTTATATTTTATTTTATTCTATTTTATTATTATTATTTTATTTAATGTTTTATTTATAATGTATGTATTATGATTTATTTGATCATTTATATTATTTTACCATGTATATGTCTGTATATTAAATGTGTAAATAGGGCAAATTTTGATTTGATATTTTCCCTCTTTAAAATACATGGATTCTCTTTATAGTTTTTGCTAGGTTTGACCTTTAACCTTTGACCCCTGCAGAATTACGCTGATGGCTCTCAGTACGGTCACATGGCCAGTCGGGACCTGGGGTCACATGACAGCATCTCTCCGCCGTACACCAACTCCAGATTAGCAGGTAAGAGCCGAGCATGATGGGAAACGTGATTGTTCGGCTTTATGATGTTTCTTCGGCTTGCATCGTGAGCGAACTGTTCTTTAGATGATTTGGTCGAACTGGTTCATCTGAACGATTCATTAGGGAATCAGATTGAATGAGTCCTGCTGGGATGCGTGTTCAGTAATCAGAAACGTCTGGAAAGGATTGTGTGTTTCTGTCACACGTCTCTGAGTGTGTGTGTGCAGTGCTGATGCTCATTTACCCAGAATGCTGTGCTGTGCCGCTGGCCGTCTCTGTCTCATCCAGTGAGCAAATGGTCAGTGATTCAGATAATCGGCCTCAGACTAATTAAGCCTGACTTAAAGCATGAAAACTGTAATATGAGGATGTTTGCCTCTCTCTCTCTCTCTCTCCTTCTGTCATTCTCTTCCATAAACAAAGACTTTAAGGCCAAAACTTATTAGCATATAATAATATTTGCACATTGTGAGGTTATTTTGTTGTATTACAGCAGGGATTTTTTTTTTAAATCCCCATTGAAAATGGCTTTTTCTGTGTAGTTTCCTTTCCTGTGTTTATACAGTATTTCCCGTAGAAACAGGAAGTGCTCCTTTTTTAAATATCCTTTAGCATTTAGTTTACAGCAGAGCCATGAATCATGATTGAATCTATTGCTTGTCAGCATCAGGTGGTATCAGTGGGAGGGGCATTCGCATTCCAGAGAGCATTTGATTGGACGACATTTGCATACGAGTCTGAGTGCACAATGATGTCATCAGTATTTTTGTTTCGGTTTTTACTTGGAAGAGAGAGGCTGAATGTTTTTGTGTTTTTCTGTTGTTTTGTCACCTTTTAGTAGTACACTGGCACACAAACGAGCTCACAACTAATAGACTTGAACTAAGAGTCACAAAATAACAAATTATAAATAGACTTGAATGAGATCTGGCAGAAATTGCACAATGAAGCACAGCTTTTCTCTGTGGGTGTTACGCTTTAGTTTCAGACTCTCGGACGGTTGCTTGCTCGTGGCTCTCTGAGGTCCTGGGTTTGTCCTTCCTGTGGAGCTCTGAGCAGACGGTGACATCACTTCCTGTGTCTGAAATACGCCTCAGGCTCCACAGTGTGAAATCAAGAGGGAAAAATAGAGCTGTTCAGGTTGTTGTCCAAAACACAGACGAGAATTAGCATTATGATTTTCCTATGAGTTTTTGTAATGGCAATTTTGGATTTATAAGTAGTGAAATTAAGGTCTGGTGTGAACATTATGATGTTTGTTTTGTTCTATAGCTTAAATTACAAACAGTATAAAAGAGCGAAATAATAATATGTTAATTAAAAAAGTAATATGTTAATGCTAAAAATATAAATAAAATAAATATATAT